TATACATACGTATAGAGAAAAAGAGAGAGAGAGAGAGAGAGAAGGCACACTCGTAATCTGAAATCGGAGAAGCACATACGGGCTAACGAGTTGCCGATTAATCCCGAGAACTTGCCTGTCGGCTCTCTGCCTGTTATCGAGGAAACTTTTTATTGCGACTTTAATTAATTTCCTCGTTATATGTATTCTCTCGCTCTTTTTCACTCAAAGAATAAGAAAAAAAAAAAAAAAAGAGAGACAAAAAGAGAGAGAGAGAGAGAGGGAGAAGAGTGGGGGAGGAGATCTCAAGTCTCGAAATTGCCTGTCGTATGTGGACATTACTTACGGGGTGATCTTTTTTAACGAGTATGGGGATACATACGAACGAGAGATCGTTTTCTAACGAAAAAAATAGTCCAAGTGGTGTCCTGCCGTCAGAATATATTCGATGAGGAGAATTACTTTTCACCTGTGTACGTTTGTATTTTTTTTTTTTATGCATTAATATACAAATGTGTGTACATACGTCTCTCTGTGTGTGTGTATATATATATGTGTGTGTTTGTATACGCAAGAGAAGAGGAGACGTAGGCGAAAAGGCAGAGGGAAAGTTTTATGATGAAATTATTAGTCTTGTGGTACATTAATAACGTCTGTAGACTAATTGCTTACCGCGCGAGTACATTAAATCCTCATTAAATAATTCGTTACCGTCCGACACCTTAATCGAAATCTGCCACAGATGAAAAAATTACGTCCCCGGTATAATAAAGAGCTAACGAATTAGTCCTGGCTTTCTCGGAGTCCTTGATAATTCTATACGTGAATATTTCCCCCCCCCCCGCCACCCTCACCCCTCATTAGATTTAGACACTGAAATGATCATCTCGCAATCGTACAAGTGTACAATATCTTATTTGTCGTTAGATTGTATTCTAATGCAAATTTCAAATAGAATTGTATATTGATTGGAAAAGTGTTTTCCAAATGTTACGTCAAAGTGGTGTGTATGCACACCTGTGTGTGTGTGTGTGTGTGTGATTAGAAAAATGTGTTTAATGTATTCTAATGCAAATTGTTAAGTAATATTGTATATTGATTAGTTTATTTATTTTGGATTTTTTCAAAAGTTAGGTCAAAGTAGTCTTAGAAAATTTAGATGAAATTCTAAAATATTGTGTTAGTATAGAAAATAAAAAGATGATTGTAAATCCTTATGAAATCTAAAGAAACTTCGATTAATATATTCGTTGAATTATTTATCGAAATGAAAGCAATGATAAAACAAAAAAAAGAAAAGAAGGTAGCAGAGAAGAAATGAATGGAAAAATCGGGTTTCTCGTTGAGCGATGACTTTATCGTCAAATTCGTTTTATCTTTTACGTTATTACAGCGTATGCGTGACATAATGTT